ATATTGCAGGTTTTGAGAAACTACAATGCTTACATTGCAGGACTAAGACAGCCTCTAGTAGTTAAATGTCCCCTAAATGATGCATGGGGACATCCAGCGTCAGAGAAATCACCATAAGAAAGGGTTGACTTGCCACAAATGCGTTAGGTCCCCCCACCAGCGGGAGGAGACAGAGCACTTTTCAAGGTTGGAATCGGGTAAGTAACAAAAATGTTTTGTTTTTTTAATTCTTTCTGAGCTTTGGGGGAGGGGTACCAAAAGATACAGATTTGTATCCTAACATTATAGAATCCCTTTAATATGCTAAAATCCTCACCTCTCCTATATGGCACAGCAACATCAGAAATGAGTGACAATGTCATACATTTTTTTGTCACAGTGACAAACATCAGATTTACAAAATATCCAGAAAAAACGTGCATGTAAAAAAATGTGATGCCGGAAGCCAGGATATAATGTCACTCCAGCCCTAGGTAGATAAGAGAAGATGGTCCAGGCACTTCAAGTGCTCGAAGGGGCATATTTATTTGGAACACAGTGTTACCAGCAGCAGTGTATCGACTCAAATGGGTCTTTCTCAAAGGGTAACTCCGGCCCCGGCATCAATAAATGGCATGCGCTGGAGCAGTGCTAGAAGAGCTTAAAGATTACAGGGTCATAGCTATCCCACTGGTCCCCAGGCAAAGGAACCACTCCAGCTCTCCCAGAGGTAGGAAAGCTGAATGGATGTAAATTAAAACAAAACAAATAAATAATAATTTGTGTGTGTGAGAGAATGTGCATGTGTGTCTGTCAGTGAGTTTGTGTGTTTCTGTTAGTGAGTATGTGTGAGTATTGGTAATTTAAAGGGACACTACAGTAACCAGAACGGCTACAGCTTAATGTAGTGGTTCTGGTTTCTATCGTGTCTATGTCCCTTAAGAGAAAAGCAGTGTTTACATTGCTGCCTAGGAACACCTCTAGTGGCAGTCACTCAGATGGCAACTAGAGGTGCTTCCTAGTCCAGTGCTGCACAATGTACAGTTCTGGTGTTCAGCATCTCCACAAACTGCATGGAGTCACTGAACATTCCTCGTAGAGATGCACTGAGTAAATGCATCTCTATGAGGAGATGCTTATTGGCACAGTGTGGTGTTTTGTAGCACAATTGCCTCCCAATGCTTTCCTGTGGGAAAGCATTAGATTGGTTGAGTTCTTTTTTTTATTTTATTTTTTTATTAACAAGTTGTGTGAGTTTACAGCCATGGGGCATGTGGCTAGGGCAGCATAAAAAAGAATCAAAATCAGCAAAGAATTGAGCAGTAGGACTGCAGGGGCTTGATCAATACACAAAAACTGTGTTATTAAGCTAAAGTTGTTTTGGAGACTATAGTGTCCCTTTAAAGGACCACTGTAGTGCCCCCACCCTCAGGGTCCACCTCCTGCCGGGCTGGATGGAGAGGAAGGGGTTAAACTTACCTCTCTCTCCAATGCCGGGTGGGGAGCTCTCCTCCTCCTCTTCGGCTGAATGCGCATGCGCGGCAGGAGCCGCGCGCGCATTCAGCCAGTCCATAGGAAAGGATTCTCAATGCTTTCCTATGGACGCTGGCGTCTTCTCACTGTGAAAGTAACGCGGAAGCCCTCTAGCGGCTGTCAATGAGACAGCCACTAGAGGCTGGATTAACCCATTTATAAACATAGCATGCTATGTTTATAAAAAAAAGGGTTAAACCTAGCTGGACCAGGCACCCAGACCACTTCATTAAGCTGAAGTGGTCTGGATGCCTATAGTGGTCCTTTAACTTCTGGCACTCAAGGCCTTAATAGTTTTGCAAAAAAATCAAACTGATTATCCAATATATTTTATATTTCAATTGGAAAAATTATATGGACCAAACTATTCAAACCAGATGATTCGGACCAATCAAGTTTTTCTTCTGTGTAAATGTCTGATGATCATATTAATATATTAATATTTTGCGAATGCATACAATCATAAATAGACAAATGTTTGAATATTTTACTAGTTTTTTTTAACAATGATAATGCAACCCCATTTTTTAAATGTTTTTTTTTCATAAATGACAATTTTTATTGCTTTTTCATGAGAATGGTCCACCCATTTAACATGGAACACTTTAATATATTTCCCGTTATATATATGATTTCTAGAGACACAACTGCATAGAAATTTGTATTTTCTACCCAAATCTTTTGTTTTAATAATATTGTGGAGATAATATTTTAGTCATTACAAAATGTCTCCACATACCTAGCCTGAGGAACATCAATATTGGATGAAACCACCTTGCGCTTTTCCTCAAGAAGATAGATCGACCGTCTGTAGTCTTGTTTCATTTCTGGATCATGTTCAAAGCTCCTTCTGGAACTTTCCGACTCCAAGTCCTTACCCTTTCTCATCTGGGCAGCCATTTGTAGATTTGGTGTACAATAGTGGCCTGCTTTAGGTTCCATTGCAGAATTAGCGCACACTCCCTGCAACAGGAAATTTACACCAAATTACCACACATGAAATTCACCAACAGATATACAAATATTCCAGACTATATAAATTAATGACTTGTAGTAATAAAAATATGGGAAAAAGAGATATACAGTGACCGTGGCACTTATCATGCAGTTATGCTGTGTATTGATTTTGAAAAGAAAAAGTAAATCTAATCCAAGAGGTAAAGTCAGGAACTGCTGTTAAATTTTGCTGAAGAGTCTGTCCTCTTTTTTTCATAATACAAAAAGTTCAGATTTCAATAGAAATTGGCACTTTTATAAATTAATCTTATATAGACTCCTCCATCCCCCTTGCTGTCACAGACATCAGACATCAGACATCAGGTCCTGCTACTTCCTGGTGTGTTTAGCTTAGTGAAGAAGGTTAGAGGAAGAGGTTCTATTTCAACTGTCAAAAGTAAAGACAAATAAGTCAATGGGACCTGATGGAATACACCCAAAGCTATTAAAAGAGCTTAGTGGTGTACTAGCAAAACCATTAATAGATTTATTTAACCAATCATTGTTAACAGGAGTAGTCCCAGAAGATTGGAAGTTAGCGAATGTTGTGCCCATTTACAAGAAAGGTAATAGGGAGGAGTCTGGCAACCATAGGCCAGTTAGCCTTACTTCAGAAGTGGGGAAAGTGATGGAAAACATGTTAAAGGATAGGATTGATGAACATCTAAAAACACATGGATTTCAAGATCAGAGACAACATGGGTTTACTTCAGGGAGATCATGCCAAACTCATCTTATTGATTTTTTTGATTGGGTAACTAAAATTATAGATCAGGGTGGTGCCGTAGGCATTGCTTACCTAGATTTCAGTAAGGCTTTTGACACTGTTGCACATAGAAGGCTTATCAATAAACTGCAATCTTTAAGTTTGGATTCCAACATTGTTGAATGGGTAAGGCAGTGGCTGAGTGACAGGCAACAGAGGGTTGTAGGTAATGGAATATATTCGAAGCTTGGACTTGTCA